TTGGGCTAATCACCAATCCTATATACTCGTATCCTTCTCTATCACAATTTTTACTTGCTCATTAACACACACAAAAGGTCACACCATCTTGACTTTCATATCTTCGATTAAAAATACGTAAATTCTATGATATTACTTAGGGCAGAATGAGTAGTCTGACCAACCATCAGAAGGGATCATAATCAAGAGGTGCTGATGGTCAATCGAAAACCCAAATATAAAATGTGCGTTGGGATGGATGTATCACACGTTCGCATCCGTTAAATGGTAGTGTCGCCAAGAAACTCAAGACCCGGTAGCGAATTCCGTTGGGAGTAGTGGTGGGACCTAAGTGAAGTAGAAACCGCCGCCCACCATCTCGTCTGATTGTGGGAAAAACACACCTACCGGCATTTGAATCACCTTTGGCGACCTAGGATGACTAGATCGCCAACTGCCAACTATTACATACCAATAGACAACCAAAAGACGGGTGACATACCAGGATACCATGACAACCAGCTTATTGCCTTTATCTCGCCCGAGTCACACCAACAGCCCATCTCGGCCTCGAAACGTGAACGTTCGTGCTAAAAGAAAAAACGATTAACTGTCAAGAAAAACAACCCTGCGAAACAAGCATATCTCAATTCATGCAATTTTTGTGCGAAGTTCGTGTCGATAAGCCAGCAGGAGTTAGTTATATTCTCATTTTTATTCGGTACCTCTACACTGCTTGCAAACTTGTATGCAAAAACACGATCGTGGTTATCCACAATGTTAGCGAATAACTACATGGTTCACCCAGAGGTGCCTTAGTTATTGGCCAGATATATCGGCGTCTACTTTGATATCTGGCAGCCTGGAAGTTAACGAATAGAATACATAAAACGACTTTATTCAAGGTAGAGTTAGAATGGGAGAGTAAAATGCCCATTCGGGATGCCCTGGTGAATAAAGTCTGAAATAAATTGAGCAGGGGAGACTCTGAAATTCGGGTTTTTTATTTAGCGCTAAACCGGGGTTCAAATGTTAGAAAGTCTAAGAAAAACTCGAGTTTACAACAATTGCTGTTTACACTCAATGGTCACTATTTTGGCGTTAATACGAAACAGGATAAGGAAAAACAATTATGCATTGCACAACAGAGAATTAGACAACACATTATCCAGACTCCTGATGCTATCGTCGTGCAAGAGTTAGAAAAAAAGATAGGAGAATTAATATGGAAACGGAGCATCGGAAGTATGCAGAAACAAGGACTAATATTCGCCTCGGACATGTCTTCTTTGAGAGCATCTTCTCGCTCCATTGTGGTCATGCGATAGTGTCTGTGCATGGGCGACATGTCGACCCACATGCAGAACAATATGCAGAAGTGTATGGCTCCTGAAATGGGAGGTGACTAAATACATGTTGACTAGAGTAAACCTAAAAGAATGGCCTAAAAACCAACATTTTATAAGATATACAGGCTTGAAGTTTGAAGGGAAGATTAGGGAGGCGAAAGAAATTAACGGAACAAGGAAGAAGGGAAATTAGGCAAGAACTACCCCCGGCTTTTAGATAAGCTTATGAAGAGGGAGAAAGAGAGAAAGCAGGAAGGAGGAGGCTTGACTATCATGCCATCTGACGCACAAGTATTGCTTCCACAAAGCTAATACATGTATCGACATTGCAGAATCCAGCATTTGTCTGTTTATGTGAGTGGTCAGCTGTGACCACATTCACTCACTTTCCATACACCGAATTCCCTCCAACAATCTTTGGATGCTTTGTAGAAAGATAGCAAAATTATGCAGAAAAATTAAGTCAACTTTCAACCGCCCATCTTTAATGGTTGTGTATTTTGGTGGAATTTTCGTGAACGAGGCTTTTTTTTCTCCAAAGATTTCTGCGACGGCAGCACACGCGAACGCTCAGCACTGATCCATTGGGGTCGCA